GAGAGAGAACATGTTAAAGTGAGGAGTGAGAGAGAGAGAGAGGGAGCGTTTGGTCTGATTACTGACTTTAAATGAGATCGTGAGGGGAGAGATGATATACGTGTTTACCTTTGTGAGAGAGAGAGAGAGAGAGAGAGAGAGAGAGAGAGAGAGAGAGAGTCAACCAACAAACACAATTAATTACAAAATCTTTAGGTTAGGTTAGATTAGGTTAGGTTAGGTCAGGTCAGGTCAGGTCAGGTCAGGTCAGGTCAGGTCAGGTTAGGTTTATGATTAAATTTAACTCCCAAAACATCTTAAAACATATAAATTCTTTAAAAAAAAATTTAATGGAAAAAAAATTCGTCAATGTAATGTACTTGATTTACCCAGGTGTCTGATGACGTCACAGCAGGTACACACGCACACACACGCACACACACACACACACACACACACACACACACACACACACACACACACACACACACACACAATATTACAAACAACAAAACCACTCTTCTTAATGGAAATGTGAAGGTTATGACTGCTACTACCACCACTACCACCATCAGGATTGTGCTGATTAATAAAGACCGCCACATTACCATCAGGATTGTGCAGATTGATATAGACCCCACCTCACCACCACTACTACCATCAGGATTGTGGTAGATTAATATAGACTCCCCACTCACCATCACTACCACCATCAGGATTGTGGTAGATTGATACAGACCTCACCACCACCACCACTACTACCATCAGGATTGTGGCTGGGATTAATATAGACCCCACCACCTCACCACTACCACCATCAGATTGTAAGGATTAGTATTGACCCCACCACCACCACTACTACCATCAGATTGTGGTTGATTAATATAGACCCCGCCACCAATTAATTACCACTATCAGATTGTGGTAGATTGATATAGACCCCACCCACCAATACCAATTACCATCAGGATTGTTGATTAATATAGACCCCACCACCACCACTACCACCATCAGGATTGTGGTTGATTAATATTGACCCCACCACCACCACTACTACCATCAGGATTGTGGTTGATTAATATAGACCCCGCCACCACCACTACCACCATCAGGATTGTGGTTGACGGCAGGTTGGTCAGTACTAGTCATTACATTTCTTCATCTTCCTCTGAAAGTCGACCAGAATAATAATAATTGAACTTCCCTCCCCTTCCACCCTTCCCTTCCTCCTTTCCCATTCCCTTCCTCCTTTCTCTCCCCTTCCCCCACCTCCCCTCCCTTCCTCATTTCCCTCCTTCCTCCTTTCTCTCCCCTTCCCCCACCTCCTCCCCTATCCTTTCCTCCCCACCCCACCTTCCCCTTCCTCCTTCCCTCCCCTCCCTCCTTCCCTTCCATTTTCACCCTCCTCTTTCCTCTTTACCTCCTTTTCCCTTCCTCTCCTTCCCCTCCCCCCCCTTACCTTCTAATCCTCATTTCCCCCTTTCGTCTCCTCTACACCTCTTTTCCCCTTGTTCCTTATCCCCTTCCCTCCTGCCACCTCCTCTCTACCCACCCCCCTCTACCCACCCCCCTCCAGCCACCCACCCCTCTTCCTCCTACCACCCCGCCCCCTCTTCCACCCCTACCCACCCACCCACCCCCCTCCTCCTCTTCACCCTGTCCACACCCCTTCCCTCCCCGTTCCTTTATCCTCTGCTTACACTTGATACAGTAAAGTGCCTCCTGAGAGAGTGTGTGTGAGTGTAGATGTGGGAACATAATAGCTCATCACTACTGCTACTCTTTATTGATTGTGAATTCTTGTGAGAAGGGTGTAAGGTAATGAAATGTGAGAATGTAAAGAGGTGTGTGGTAAGAATAATAGTGTGTAAGAGAAAGTGTGTGCGTGTGGAGGGTGTGAGAGTGTGGTAGGGTGTGGAGGTGTGTGTGTGTGGTGGGGTGTGGAGGGGTGTGGGGAGGGTAACTAGGGTGTGGAGGGGTGTGGGGGTGTGTGGCTGGGGTGTGGGCGTTAGTCAGGTTGTTGTGTGGGAATTGTGGGTGAGGATTTGAAGAGGAAGGAGATGGGTGTTTCAACAACAATGTGTGTGGGGTGGGGAGATAGAAGCAGGGGAGGACAGGGAGTTTGTTATATGTGGGGGAATTGGGGGAGAGGAGGACAGAAAAACTACAAAAACAATTAAAATCCCACAAATACAAAACAATTAAAATACAAAAACAAATGAAGTTAGACTCCCTCTTGTCTCTGTAATTAAGGTAGTAAACTAGACTCTTACAACAGGTGTATTAAGACGTAATTCTGTAATCTCTTGCTGTAACTTAATGAGATATATACAGGTAGATTTCAGGTGTAAGTTACAGTGATGAGAGAGAGAGAGAGATGCCATTCTTCTCTCTCTCTCTCTCTCTCGCTCTCTCAGTTTAACTTTCCTCACTGACAATCAATCGGCCATGTGATCACAGGTAGCTCTCACTCTCTTTCTCTCCCTCACTTTCTTTCTCTCCCTCACTCTCTTTCTCTCCCTCACTCACTTCCTCACTTGTCTCACCATCTTCCTCCCTCACCCTTCCTCCCTCAACTCCCATCTATTCTCCTTCACTCTCTCACTTAACTCCCTCCCTCCTTCTACCACCCACCCACTCCCTCATTCTCCCTCACTCCCAATCGATCAGTCAGTGGGCCGTAGTAGTGATCGGGGGGGAGGGGGGAGTGGGAGTAGGAGGGGGGGAGGGGGGAGGGAGGGGGAGGGGGAGGGAGGGGGAGGGTAGTAATTACAAATCTTTATCTTGTAAGTAATTAAAACTCAGGTAGAAGAAGGTAGCCTCTATGTAAATGGCGCCATTACACTTTTATGATGGCCCATTCACCCCCCGGGCCATTATGTCGATCCCTTGGGCCATGGACCACCTCTCAGTATGTTGGGTTCTCAATATTTGATGATCTCCCGTGGGCCATGGACCATATCAGCTCTGTCCAGGGCCACAGGGGCCACAAATACAGTCCTGGCCATTGTTTACATCTCCTTCACACCGCTTCTGTATAGTGCCAGCCATCAGCGTAACGGACGGACGGACGGACGGACGGACGGACGGACGGGCAGATGGACGGACGGACGGACGGACGGACAGATGGATGGACGGACGGACGGACGGGCAGATGGATGGACGGACGGACGGACGGACGGACGGACGGACGGACGGACGGACGGACGGACGGACATATAGACAATCCACCCTCTCCCCCCCCCTCCACTTTCTCCATTCCCCTCCAACCCATTCATCCGTACACCCGCTTTTCCCGTTCTCTTCCTCATCCACACACAAACACTCCCCTTCCCTCATCCACAGCCCCTCTCCTACGTCACACATCCCCTTCTCTCCTCCCCCTCTTCACAGTTTCCCCTCCCTCCTCCTCCTTCCCCTCATCCATCTCC